GATAATTGAAAAATTAAAGGTTAACTTTTATTTTTTAACACAAATTTATTATAAAAAAATTGCATTTATTACATTATTAACTTGTGCCCTTAAGATATAGGTTAGATAAACCCATGAATAAAAAGAATAATTATTTAAATAATATGTAAAGTTATATAAAAAAATAATATAAAAAAATTATTCCCAAATATATATATATATATATATATATTTTGCATCCAAGTAGACAAACCAAATGCCAAATCCCTTGTCACAGACATGAGATGGCCATATTTCGCCACAAGAGGCAGTTCCTGAACAACAATTAACGGTAATTAATGGCAATTAAGTTGGCTGTGAGGTAAGGGTCAAATTGCTTCGATTGCAAAGTTTAGGAGCTTATACATATTAATTAAAGTTTGGGGGTTTAACAGTGATTCGGGGTTAGTTTAGGGGCTTAACTTATGATTTTGCCTTTGGTCAATATAATCAAAATTTGAAAGTATTAAAAGATTTATGTACTGATTTTGCGTCAAAACCAATACATATTGGTTGAACTAACCGGTATGATACAAGATTGGCAACTTTAGATAGAGCGGCTCACCGGCTTTAAAAAAATCCAATCTTGTGAAAATTAATGACAAGTCGCTATCCTCAGTCTCATCTGTTATTATTTACTCCCCTTTGGTAAGAAATTGGATTGAGCCAAAAACGAATTTGATCTGGTAGAATTCTCTTAGCCATTTAAGTAAAGGATCCTCAATGGGAGCAAGATAAGTTCAGTTTTGGGATAAGATATGAGCATGAGTAATAACAATAATAATAACAATAATAATAATAATAATAATAATAATAATATTTTTATTAAAAAAAGAAAAGAAAAGAAAAGTCAAGCACATGATGAATAGGAAAATTTAATTTAAATATGTGATTTATTGCATATTATGATTTCTCTTTCATGATGGAATATGAAGATTTACGGGTCTAAAGACTCTAAACTAAATCTCCATATCTGCAAGTCAAATGTTGAATTGGGAAGGAAGGTGGGATGGTAAAGTCGAAGAGGAACATAAGAAGAGAAAGGAAAGTTGGTCAGTATAGCATGGCCTCCGACCTATGTATCTGTGAGTCAAGGAGTTCAAAGGATTAAGTGGACATTAAACAAACTTATAATGCTTTCTTTATATAAGCACCGGATGCATGTTCTTTTTCCAAGAAGGTGATTCAGAATAAATTTAGGCTTATTTTTTTCTGCCTGCAGTCGTTGTTGCATGGCTTTGAGGTTGAGTTTTTGTTTTTCCAGAACAACTAGATTCCTACATTCTTCATTGAATTATGATTCCAAGCCAAAATGGACGTGTTCGTCGGCTCCTGTTTCTCAGGGGGATTCAGGAATCCATCATAATAAGAACTTTCAGCTCAAAGCATCAAATGTGCAGCCTCTGAATGCTATTGCTTTGCAGGCTGGTAAGTTCACATTTTCCCATTTCATCACACACTTTGGGCAATCCTTTTCCTCCTCATATCTGTTTGAAAAAATGCCTCTAAGAAGTAGCTATAGACACTAAGGGATAGGATTATGTAAACTAGCAGTAGGAAGAAATACATGTTAGCTTTGCTATTTTTTTCTTAAGAAATAATCATTCCTAGTAAGTGTTCAATACAAATTTTGCAATGAATGCTTTGTTCCCATTGATTCCTATAAATAGGTGTACCAGCAAATTCTCTTGAAACAGAAGACGTTGAGGCTGTAAGTCCAACTATCAAGGAGTGCGTTCCCATCATAGAAACAGAGAAAACAGATTCAGCTCTCAGCTTCATAGTTGTTGGTGCTTCAGGGGAACTTGCAAGGAAGAAAATCTTCCCTGCCCTCTTCTCTCTCTTCTGTGAAGATCGCTTACCCGAGGTCCTGATCAATTAGAATCATTTTTGTATTTTCCTTGAATCAAAACTCTTGCTATCATTGTGTAGGAAATTTATCATTTCTTGAATAAATTTCATATCTTCTTTCTCATTGTAAAACAGAATTTTACAATTTTTGGCTATGCAAGGAGTGCATTGACCAATGAGGAGTTGAGAAATATGATTATTAGAAATCTGACCTGCAGAATTGACAAAAGGTTTGAATTTGTTTCCTTGTAATGTTGAATCCCATTTCATGTTTCCTTGTGCTCATTACTAAAGCTGGTGAATTTTCAGGAAAAATTGTCGTGAGAAGATGGATCAATTCTTGAAAAGATGCTTTTACCATTCTGGTCAATATAGCTCTGAGGAGCATTTCTTGGAACTGGACGAAAAACTGAAGGAGAAAGAGGTAAAATGCCTTCAATAGCCCCAATTGTCAATCTGCTATGTTTAAGTCATGCAATGGTCTTATGATCTATGGAAAAACTCCTTTCAGGCAGGAAGATCATCAAATAGACTGTTCTACTTAGCAATACCTCCAAACATCTTTATCGATGTGGTGAGATGTGCTCGACGACGTGCTTCTTCAGAAAATGGATGGACTAGAGTCATTGTGGAAAAACCATTTGGTCGTGACTCCGAGACTTCTAAAGAGCTCACAAGAGACTTAAAGCAATATCTAAACGAGGAACAAATATTCAGGTTCACATTTCTGCATTCCGGTTCCATGAGCCTAATTACTGGACACATTAGCAAACCTGTGACATTGTCCATCTTTATGCAGAATTGATCATCACTTAGGGGAGGAGCTTGTTGAGAATCTTCTGGTACTTCGTTTCTCAAACCTGGTTTTTGAGCCTTTATGGTCCCGGAACTATATTCGCAATGTACAGATCATATTTTCTGAAGATAAAGGACTTGAAGGACGAGGCAGGTTAGTCCAAATTTGCTCATTATGACATCCCAATATCATTCTAAGATCTAGTACATGTAAAAAATTGCTTTACTCTGCTGGATCACATCCAGGTACTTTGATAACTATGGAATCATCCGGGACATAATGCAAAACCATTTGCTACAAGTACTAGCACTATTTGCAATGGAAACACCCGTCAGCCTAAATGCAGAAGACATTAGAAATGAGAAGGTATACAAAATTTCTCCGTACTCGGAGTTTACTCTCCAAGCTCCAAGTGAACAATAAGGGGTTTTCCTTGTCATTCCAAAAAAATAAAATAAAATAAAATAAAATAAATCTTTCGAAATGATTCTAAATTTCATGTCATTGGTTTAGTTCTATAGTACTGCATACTTTCTGACTGTACGGTTTTGAATAGGTTAAAGTTCTACGTTCTATGAAACCAGTTAAGGTTGAAGATGCAGTGATCGGTCAATATAAGGGTGATTCATCATACCCTGCCTTTACTGATGACCCAACTGTCTCAGACAACAGCCTCACACCAACCTTTGCAGCAGCAACTCTTTTCATTAACAATGCCAGATGGGAAGGAGTCCCTTTCTTGATGATAGCAGGCAAAGCTCTCCAATCTAAGCGGTATGAAAATTTTCTTTGGCATCCAGGAAGATTTGAAAATTGGTTATGCAATTGAATACTGAAAAATTATTGACGTAATGAAAATGCAGAGCAGAGATCAGAGTACAGTTTAGGCATGTTCCTGGTAACTTGTACAACAGGAAATTTGGAACTGATTTAGACAAGGTGACAAATGAACTTGTGCTTCGCGTACAGCCTGATGAAGCTATATATCTGAAGATCAACAACAAGGTTCCTGGTCTTGGAATGAGATTGGATAGCAGTGACCTTAATCTGCTCTTCAAATCAAGGTAAGGAGCAAAGGATCAAAGATATAGAGCAGGACAATATTAGGGAAAATCTTTCTTTCAGCCCTCAAATATATCACAACTCCCAATTCAGACCTAAACTTCCTCTTTGGGTCAGTTAAGCCCTATGACAAGTGAGATTAATTAAACAAGTTCAAAATATACAATTATTATCACAATGATATAACTATTTTGACCATTACTCTTAATTTACTATTCAAAATCAAATGTGTAATTTCAAGGAAAATAGTTTTGAACTTTGAGCTTATCTAATTTTATTAATAGAGGTGTGTAGGTTTGTATCTCTTGACCCCTAATTTATGTAAACAAAAAAAAAATTAATAATGAGTTATTGTACTCATTTTGCAATGAAGGTATCCAAGAGAGATACCAGGTGTGTACGAAAGGCTACTCCTAGATGCTGTAGAAGGAGAACGGCGATTATTTATAAGAAGCGATGAGCTTGATGCTGCCTGGAAAGTATTTACTCCCTTATTGAAGACATTGGAAGAGAAGAAAACTGCACCTGAGCTTTATTCCTATGGCAGTAGTGGCCCAGTAGGAGTGCATTACCTTGCTGCAAAGCATGGTGTTCGTATGGGAGAGTTTGGTTGCTAGCTAGCTTGGCAATTAAGGATGTGTATAATATTTGTGATTAAGAATAGTTTGACATCAAAAGTTCAGACATATGTGCAGTGGTTTGAAATAGAGAGTATTAAATTAGGTTTCACTTTGTATTTATTATTAAAGATGCAATAATTCACTTTTAACCATGGAAATAAAGTTTTTAATTCTAGGAAGGGAAATTAGAGACCTCAAATTTGAAGGATGGAATGAATGAATGTGAGTTTGAGAAAAGGAGATCCTCAATTGATAAAGTGAATTTGTTAGTAGTGTTATTAAAGAGTTTAGCCAAGTTTAGTAGTTGGCTAATAGCTACAATAATAATATTACCTTTTTAACTTTATTATATATGAGAGTAGTGGAAATCAATCCAACTTCCATTAAAGATTAAAGTCTCAATGCTTAGTAAGTAGTTCACAATGATGTTGGAACTTTTGAATTTAATCAACACTACTTTGTCCAATGATAGCCAAACGTTCCCGTCTACTCAAATTCTAGAGCCAATCTCCAAAATGGCTTGTTGCCTACACAAGCAATTTTGGGCTAGAGTTGTAGGCAACTCTTGAAGAACACAACTTTTTTGCATGTAATTAAGCTATTCGATCAAATAGAAGAAGGATCTTAGACAAATGTTTGCAAATGATGCATTGGTTGGTTCTCAATATGCAACAAAGCATTATTGAGAAAGAAGTAGCTTAAATTATCTTTGGAGATAGAGAAATTTTTTTACTGCATGTTGATTTTCAAAATTAGTGAAACTTTAATAAGAATATAGGTTATTTTTATGAGACAATGGAAAGGACAAAAGAGACAAGAAAAAAGAACTTCAATATTAGATTGCCTTAATAAATACGCTACATTTGGGTGATTGATGTAGTGTTATAAAATACGATGGATAGTGACCTAATATTGAGTGCCACTTAGGTGTTATTGGGCATTTTTTGGTTTTTTATTAAAACTTTTTCTTCAAAAATGTAAAAACATTCAAGAAAATGGGGAAAAAATTGCATAGACTTGAAATTTTAAATTTAAGGACTTCACCACATGTTCTACAAAACTTAAAGGATTAAATTGCAAAAAATTCAAATAAATTGCTTCCTTTTAACTAACATGGCACTTTTTTAGCCTCTGGAATTTGAGTTAGGTATACTTCATGGGTTATCTTTAGGTCTTTGGGGTGTGAGGGTGCATAAAACCATTATTCCAATGTAACTCCAATGGAATGGTTCATTGACAACATTTGAGAAATATTTTGGCATTGATTTTTCGAACATGACACAATTTTATTGGAGATAAGAAAAAGTAATTTTTTGCAACATATTAAATTGATGAGATAGGCAATTTTATAGTCAATTACATGCTGCATCTAGTTTTTTAATTTGACTATATATTTTATGCCTAACTTCAATAAGTGAAATGAGGTTTACTGGGGCCTGTTCACTACCATAACTAAACTGATTCTAGTACTAGATAATGGCATGCAAGATATCATCAATACACAAATTGAGGAATGTAAGAAAGCAATATATGACTTTGATATGGCTTTGGATATTTTTTAAAGGAAAAAAATAAATCCAAAATAATTTTCTTTATATATATATATAAACTCTTATTTTCTTTTACAATTTTTTTATGGAAAATGAAGATTTTATTAGAAAGTAAAAAGAGTATAGCAAAATCTCTAAATATTATGGCACTACAATAAAATCTAAAGCACAATCTACAACACTAATTACAAACTTAAACTATGCCCATGACAAATTTAGATAAGTAAATATAAAGAGTCATTTGCAACTAAGGGTTAAAAGCATTCACTATAAGGGCAAAGATAAAGCTACCTAGGTGGGAGAATTATTCTATTAAACAGTCAAAGTTTTTACAAAATCCCATTGAAATTGCTAGCTTTTGGGGAGAGTAGATAACCGAACAAGTGACAGTCCTTGCCCACCAAACTTAATTTTTGCTAGTCCTTGAGTAAGATAAAAAGACAAAATAAAATCTAACTCACTTTCGTAGAAATCACAATTACACTTAGCATGTGCAACAAGCCTTTAAACCCTTAGGTCACCCTAGTGGACGAGTTGTGTCTCATGAGGGTTTTCAGTGGATTTACCCACAAAATCCCAATGCAAAAATGCAACTACATGATATGCATGCAAAGAAAATTTAGGAATTAAAATTCAATTAGATACAAAGTTTCAAATATTCAAGAGTTTTCATATACTCCGTTAACTTCAAATACTGCGTCTTATTCTTCACACCACTTATCAAAAGATGTAGCTCATGAGCACTTAGTGTATGTGTGGGAATTCATAATGAGAAGTTTTCGAAGTTAAACCTTCACACTTTAGCACTTATTATTATTATTATTTTAGTTGAGTTTGCTTAGGCTTTTTAAGTTACCCTTGTAACGAGCTTTCTGCTAATAACTCCCAAACTAGTTGGCTTTAGGGCATTAGGTGAAAAGACACTCCTAAGAACATACTTACTCGAGTAACAAAGGCCACGAAACATTTTACTTCTTTTTTTTTTTTTTTTCAGCCATACAACACATTCTTCCTAAAGCCATCACTTATCTTTTGATGTGAATACTAACAATTGTTATGAAAGCACCTAGTTATGAAAGCACCTAGTTACTCAACAAGTCATAAACTCAAAGTGCTTTGCATACTCATATTTCAAGTCACCATTTGATGTGAAAGTTGACATGAGTCTCATGCCTAACCCCCAGTTACTAAGCAACTAGAATTATTGGAGTAGAAATTAAAAACCTCCTTTGTGTTGGCTTCTCTTTTTTTTTTTTTCTTTTTCTTCCTCTTTTATGTGCTTTTTAGGCACTACGTAGTCTTCTCTCTAAACTTCTCACTACAAACTTGTGCTCAAGTAGAGTAGAATACTCATGAACTTAAAATTCATCACAATGGTGTTATTTTTCAAATTTTGTATTTTTCAAATAGGCCACTCGTGAATTTCTAACTCCTGAATATTTAATTTTGGTACAAAATGATCAAATTCCTAAAAAAAAAAAAAAACTAAAAACCATTTTCTAAAGAAAAGAAGAAAAGAATGGTATGCAAACAACATGAATGTGATCTAATGCAAATATGAGTATCAAAATGTATTTCCCTCCCCCAAAGTTAAATCAAACATTGTCCTCAATGTTAAAAGAAATAAGTCAAGGAGAAAGGAAACTTCCCATATTTTATGCACTTGAATATACAAAGTTAATCCTTAAGACTTGAATTTCCCCCAAATTTGTGCACTAACCTGCATTTAGAAAAAATAAAATAAATCAAGGCTAAAAAGGAACTAAAATAAATAATAATGAAGAAAAAGAAAGTTTAACACTTAGTTTGCCTCCCAAGAAGCACTTAATTTATAATCATTAGCTGGACTATCTCATGTCATTATCCAAGATTACGTAGTTCAGTGGTGGTCTTGTGTTTGTTGCATCCACCATTCTTTTGATAAAGTCACACATTTTCATAAATTTCATGTTGATTTGGAGGCTCTTCATTAAAAAATGCATTGCACAAATTGGGTTTTTAAGGATTTTTGAATTTTGGCCTTCTTGATTTTGGGCTTGGTGGAGATGCTTCCAGATAATGTCCTTCTTTAATTGCATCATCTTTGACCTTGGTTCAACCATCTTGTCACTAGTATCGACTTTGAAACATTCCTCAATATCATTAGAAGGATATTTTATAGTTTCAAAAACATTAAATATAACATGTTCATTCTGAACTCTAAGAATTAATTTTCCTTCTTGAACATCTATTAACGCTCTATTAGTCACAAGAAAAGGACGACCTAAAATAAGAGGGATCTCGTAGTCCTCTTCCATATCCAACACTATGAAATCAATAGGAAATATAAATTTATCTACTTTTACCAAAACATCTTCAACTACACCCCTTGGATACTTGATAGATCTGTCTGCTAGTTGAGGGGATACATTAGTTGTTTTCGGTTCTCCAAGTCCCAATTTCCTGAAAATAGAAAAAAGCATTAACTTAATACTTGCTCTCAAATCACATAAAACTTTATCAAAATGATGATTTCCAATAGTGAAAGGAATGGTAAAACTCCTTGGATCTTTTAATTTAGGAGGAAGCTTGTTTTGTAAAATTGGTGAACACTCCTCATTTAATGTCACCATTGCAAAGTCTTCCAATTTCCTCTTATTTGTCAAGATACTCTTCAAGAATTTTGCATAATTTGGCATCTACGCTATTGCATCTACAAAAAGAATGTTAATGTGCAATTTCTTTAGCATATCACAAAAATTTACCAAATTCCTTATTATACTGTTGCTACTTTAATCTCTAAGGAAAAGGAACAGAAGGCACATATGGCTTGGTTTCTTTGGGGGGTGGTTCTTGAACTTCTTTTTCTTTCTTAGGAATTTCTCCCTTTTTCTCTTTTGATTCACCTTTCATGTCTTGCTCTCTTCGAATTTGTTTCTCATTTCTCAAAGCTATGGCATTTACCTGTTCTTTGGGATTTATCTCTGTATTGCTAGGTAGAGCTCCTTGGTTTCTTCCAGAAATCATATTTGCCAACCCACTTGCACGTCTAAATTCTGTATTGATGCACCTTGGTTTTGGACTACTTCTTGACTTTGAAACCTTGATTCACTAAAAGCAATGAACTTTTTTAGCAAGTCCTCAAGATTTGGTTTTTTTTCAGGTGGTTGCTAAAATCCTGGAGGTTGCTTTACCATATTTTGATTGTTACTCCATGAAAAATTTGGATGATTTTTTCAATCAAGATTGTAAGTGTTGGAGTAAGGATTATTTTGTTACTTGTTAAAATTACCAACAAAGTTAGCATTCTTATATGATTAAGTAAAGGAATTACTTACTTGACATTCAGTACATGCATATTCTCCTCCACACCAGTCATAAGTGACATTCTAAACATGCATAGTAGAAACATTCAATTTATTGAATTTCTTATGGAGGGCTTCCACTTGAGCAGTTAGGACTTTGAGAGTGTCAACTTCATGTATTCTAGCATTTCTTTTGATGGGTGTTCTTTCGGAATTCCATTGATAATTATTTGAAGCCATCTCCTCTATTAGCTTATAAGCTTCTCATGAATTTCACTCATTGATGATCTACTTGCAGCTACATCAATCATGGTATTAGTATTTGGGAATAAACCATTATAAAAAGTTTGTACATGTAACCATATAGGTAGACCATGATGTGGGCACATTCTAAGTAGCTCTTTGTATCTCTCCCTTGCCTCATACAATAACTCCATGTCAAACTATATAAAAGTAATAATATCATTACGCATCTTGGCAATTTTAGAAAGAGGAAAGTACTTACCAAGAAATTTGCTTGTCATCTCTTCCCAAGTAGTAATTGAGTCCGAAGGTAAAGAGTAAAACCAATTCTTTGCTCTATCCCTCAAAGAGAAAGAGAAAAGTCTTAATCTTTTTGCATCTTTTGAAACTCCATTATACTTGAATGTGTCACAAATTTCTAAAAATTTGGTCTGATGTTCATTTGGATTTTCATTCGGCAATCCCCTAAATTGGATTGATTGTTGAATCATCTAAATATAAGTTGGCTTGATTTCAAAGTTGTTAGCTTGTATTGCTGGTTTCCTTATACATATGGCCACACCATCCATCGAAGGTGATCCATACTCTCTCAAGGTCCTTGCAACAGCTTCGTCTGCCATCTTGTGAGATTGATTGACAACTAAAGCTTCCTTCCTTTTACCTAAAAGGTGAAAAGTTTGGTCTATCTCAAAATCAAATTGTGCAAGTTCTATGTTTTTAGAATGAGTCATACACTAACTTGCACACTTGAAAAACAAATAAAAGAAAAAAAATTCAAACTAAAACTAGAATTAATATGCTTTGATATTAATTAGAATCAATACAATCCCCAGCAACGGCACCAAAAACTTGATGAGCTAAATTTACTCTAGTAAGAGTACTAGTCAATTCAAGTAATATAGTGATGCGAATAAAGTATTGTCCCATAGAGACTACAAACTAATTAAATACCAAAAATAACTAATTCTAATTTTATTTGAACAATTGAAATTAAATGATTTGAATAAAGTAATTAACTAAAACAATTAAATAAAAACTAAATTGATTTTGAGGAACACTAAGATCTGAAATTCTAAGGCATTCGATTTCACCATAATCAACTAATATAGAATTTAGATTAATATATTTCCAAGGTATTTAATATTTTTGTGATAACGTGATTTCCTATCCTATTTGATATACTTTCTTAAGCTATACTCTCAAGTTATACCAAACCTATCTTCACCTATTAACTCACTATATCTCTATGTGAATTTAAATAGATAAAAATGCATTATATTCTATGAAATTCTTTAGTTTATGTAGAAAATTAAGTCCACTTATCACTAATACCGCATAAATCACATTAGTCCATTTCTGACTTTCGTTTAATTCATGGTATATATTACTAGAAGCTATTGCATAAAATCTCCTCTCGGTCTCAATCATGCTCTCCAAAGCAGTTTTAATGGTGGCCAATCATTAAAAAGCATTAATTAAGAACAATAATATATACTTTATATAAAATAATTAATCTTGAAAGTATACAAATCATAAAACTCTATATTACATTGATCAGGCTACATCGTAGGCTTAAATGGCTAAATCAATTCATAATTAAAGAAAAGAAAATCAATAATCCCATGATGAATATATGAGCATCCAACATCATAAAATAAAGTTCAAAAATAGACAAAACCAATTTGATAATATAAAATCATAAGCCTTGATCTCCTTTTTGTTGTTGAATTCCTCTCAATTGTCTCTCTCTTGGTCTCCTCTCAAAAGTCCCAAAACTGATTTTTGAATGGGTATTCATAGAGTTTAAGAAACTCTATTAGAAAAAAAGCAGACTTGGAATAGAATAGGAAACTTGAATTTTGGACGCTAAACGCATAGTGCCGACACTTTAAATTACATGTCGACACTACATCCATGTCAGGTTTCTTTTTACAATGGTTAAACCTCATTTTGATCCCTAAACTATTGTATAGACCCCCGGTTTAGTCTCTAAACTTAAAAATCCCTGATTTGATTCCTACTGTTTACCATTTTTACCCCGATTTGGTCCTTCCGTTAAAAATCTCATGACATGGCCTGCTACTTCACGATTACCAGCTGACATGTCAAATATTAATATACGTAGAACACAATATGACAAAAAAAGTGATGACATGGAAAAATAATAATATAAAAAATATTATTATGAAACATAAAACTTAAATCTT